CGTGCTGCTTAGCCTCAGTTACACCTTGCATGGTTATTCGCATGTTTACTTGCATGCTATGAGGTCATCATCATCGTCAGCATACACGTTAGCTAGAACTGGGGAACACCTCAGCTACTGTGCCGCAATACATAGAAAAACGAAATATAAGCAACTGGTGCAAGCTGGCTGATCTACCGGGAACGGATGGGCATCGTTCCGGTAAGCTACCAGCCGGCTGCTGTGCAGCAAAAAAATTACTATGCAAATTTATATAACGCTAAATAATGAGATCGTGGTTGGGGGAGGCTAAGAGGGATGGGGTGGGACAAAGGAACTCACAGCACGAACGCCACTGAGGTCGACTCCTAGCCATATCAGCAAGTGTGTCCAAACAAACGTGTTCATTGTCTTTCGGACCCCAAACAGGGAGCCGAGACTTGCCAACCGAGGCCAACTCAGAAGTGAGGGCATTCATTCCTCTAATCCAAGTCATCGTTTGGCCACTTATCATTTTCTTACGTCCACACCACCGGCGCGCAAACGAAACACATCGCGGGAGTCGGTGGGCTGGCATGCGTAACACTTGGTCGAACCATAGGGGCCTGATGCGTGAATTAACGGTGCTGGGCGGTTTAGTTTCTTTTCCTGTGCCATAAACGAGGCGTCGAACACGCTCGTTGCTCACGCGGTGTTCCCACCAGATGTGCACTAAATTACGAAGGCACCGATGGTCGAACGTAACTAGCCGCTTCAGGTCCGCTGCTTTAAGCGCTCAGGATTCACAACCGTGCAGCAGGGTCGAACATACCGCTGCATTGTACACTCTACCCATCAGGGCAAGAGTGATATCGCGCCGCCGCGATAAGTGGCGAAGGTTAACAGAAGCGCCCCGAGCTTTTACTGTACGATTCGTGAGTTCATCTTCAATCCCACGGGTGCTGATATAACCCCCAAGTAGTTGAATTTTTGAACTACTTCTAGCTGATCCCCAACAAGAATCAGCGTAAGGCGCGGTCCATACCAATCTTGGAGGAACGCTTTGCACTTCGATGGTGCGAAGCAAAGCCCGAAGTGACGGACAGCTAGTGCTAATCTGTCCAGTGCCGCTTGACACGTTTGTGAGCTGTCACAGATGAGGGCAATATCATCAGCATACTCTAAGTAAAAAACTCGTTCTCCTGGGAGCAGATCCACACCTTCTAAGTCGTGTCATGTGAACGCGATTTCCATGACTTCGTCAACAGCGAAATTAAAGAGGAAAGGTGACAGCGGGCATCCTTGTCTCACACCGCTGTGGATATTAAAGGGCGACGACAACTTGCAGGAAGCACTCACTCTGCTCGAGCTAGGCGCATAAAATGCTGGGATAATATTCACATATTCCTGAGGTACACGTTTCCTGAGTAGACAGTCCCAAAGTGCATGTCTATCCACTGAATCGAATGCACCTTTGATATCGAGGAACACGACAACGGTGGGCCGCCAGTATATGTGACGGTACTGCAACAACTTACTCAAAGTGCCGATGTGGTCAATGAAGCCACGACCTCGACGAAATCCATCTTGCTCTTCACGAATCTGACTTTCACTAGTACCAGTCAGTCTGTGAAGGTTGACAGTGGCAGGCAAATTGGAGGCGATGGAGATCAGACTGATTCCTCTACGGCTGCCGCAATCAGATCGTGAGCCTCCCTTGAAAATTGGGACTATGACGGAGCGGCTCCAGTAGGTTGGGACAGTCTTCTGCTCCCACAGTTTGACTAGTAACTCGTGTAAATCATCCACAAGAGCAGGTCCCCCGAATTTGAAGAGGGCTGGAGGAAGGTCCTGAGGTACTGCGGCTTTATTTAATTTCAACAGTTCGATCTCACGTTTGACTTCTGAGCGAGAGGGTGGATCCAAAGTGACAGCCCAGGAACCAGGGCGATCATTGGTCGGCGAGAATTCTAACCATTCCGACCGAATAATGGCCTTTCAAATTGCTCAGCCATACACTCTATGCGTTTTGATAAGTTGTGGATAGGCTGTCCACTCTGATAACGTATAGTTTCACTAACACCAGGTCTCCTGCTGCCCGTTTCCTGTATCAGACGGAATAACTTACGATTTGCGGTCTCTCTTCAGGCTAGCACGGAGTTTCGCCCGAAGTTTTTTGCCAGTTTCATTGTGTTTGCTTCCAGCCGGAGTATGCCGGCGAACATCTATATGTTCCACAAACTGTGAAGAGACACAATGTCCATGTTGGCGATTAAACATACCACATGAGGATTTTTCTGCTGCTAATAACCTCTGGTGAATAAAAGAGCAGTGAGCTTCAATTGCATTCAGTGAGTCTTTATCCAACTCGCGTGAGAGCGTGCTTTGATACGCATTCAGAATAGCTGGCTTCGCCATTTGGCCGATTTCTATGCGCTCACAAATTTATCATGGGCGTCCGCCAAAGCGCATCCGTAGGTCAGCACAAACAAATGCATGGTCGATGTCCACACCTGTGCTCCAAATCGAGCGACAGTTCTGGACGCAGCCTCTCCATCGGTAACTTATCGCAATGTGATCGATTTGCGTCCATAGCTGGTTCGAGGCTGGTGGGCGCCAAGTCAACCTCCGGCGGGTGCTGTGTCGGAAATTAGTGCTCGCAAGAAATAAGCGAGCATCCTCACACAAATGAAGTAACCGCTCATCGTTATCATTACGGGAGCGTACACCGTGTTGACCGCCCAGATGCATTTCATCAGTGTATAATTTCCCAACTTGAGCGTTCAGATCCCCGGCCAGCACTGCAGTGTCTAAGCTTCTTCTGTGGCTAAGGAGCTCGTTCAGTTGACGATAGAAGTCGTCCTTTACCGAGTCATCGCTAGAGTTAGTCGGAGCATAGGCCACAATTACGAATAAACACCTGTTAGTCCCACGCGATTTCGAAGCTTTGAACGAGCCAGCCAATCGGACCGCACACATCCGGCTACTGATTGGAATCCAATCAACTCAGTCCGGGGACTCAGGGCAATACCAACACCAGCTTGGCCGGTGCTCGAAGCTGCATCATCACCGGATAGGCGCGATGAGAAAACACTGCTTGCGTCCCCTGAAAGGGATCGCAGTGAGTACAGAGCTCCAGTCTTACAGGCGTGTCTCCGATAAGCAGCAGATATCGATTGAGAGGGTCTCTAATGTTCGGGCAAGATCTGCCTGTTGACCGAGCTGAAGCAATGTGCGAATATTGAGGCATGCCAATCTGAAGAAGGATCAAGGGCTCCAAATGGAAGTCGATGAACTGGAATTGGCCGCTTGCTTGGACATGGGCCTGTTGACAGTGCAGGAATGACGCTCCGCGTTCACCTGTGAGTTGAAACTGAAAGACAAGCGACTACTGAAGCAAGGTGGTGGGTTGAAAACAGGGGGATATAAGTAAAGTTGGAACTGGACGATAAGGGTAAAAAAGCGCGAGAAGGGGAATAAGAAGACGGGAAGGCTTGAGCAGTAGCATCCAAAGCGCTATCCACCCTGCTCGATGCAGCAGATAGGGCACCGTTGTTTTTCCTCTGCGGTGGCCGGAGCATCAAGAAATTGTTTGAGGAAAGATTCATTGTATTGCGTGGGCACCATACTGTCAGGTTGCCCAGGTCTAGACAGGAGAACGATTAGGGTTCTCAACCAAAGCCTTTGGTTCAAAAACCTGACCGCAAGGCAGCTGGTTTGGCGCTGGGCTACAAGGAGTCCGTTTTAAGGAATAAGGTGCCATCCACATTCCAACCCCCAACTTGGAGTACCAGGAGGCTGAGTTTTTCTGGCTTCTAACGATTGGCCAATCTGGTATGAGTGGCTATGAAGTTGCAAAAGCACCAACCAGCATAGCTCAACGGATCACTGAGGCACGCAAACCATCGCACAACGGTAAGGTCCAGCCTCATTGCGATGGATGCTATGATGTCCTTTTATCCGTATGCGATTGCTGCGTACCGATTCCCGTGCACATCGCATTTAACAACAACATCTGAGTCTGCCTGCTTTTTGCAAGCAGCCGGTGAAGCATTTAACGCCCCCTGCATTTGCGTTAGGACCATTGTATGCGAATTTTCACTAGTCCCTCAACCGTTTCTTTCTTCGTGTCTAGCCCGCCCACAGGTATACCTGCTGACATCTCTCGGCTCTGTGAATACCCTCTGGGTGTAACCTTCCAGCCGTGTAATCACAAGCACAGCGGTGACCATAAGTGCTGTCGGTATACTACTTTGACTCCTTCTAATCCCTCACAGCTAGCCGGTTATGAGTGGTTGTATCGACACTTCTGCCTCACTTGTTTGAGTAGGCACATAAATCCCGCGTCACCCTAATGTACCATGCCATAACGGTGACCGGATGACGGCATATGGGCTATGCGGACATAAGTGCAACCCGAATGTAGGAGATCATGTTTACGAGCCCGATGACGCTATGACAGGTAACGCTCAGGCCTATGTCCACACATCTTAATTACAGAATGTACAGATGGACTGAATGTACTCCTTCCGGGATTCCAGTTGCACTATTCGTGATCATTTATCGTCGGTCTATCTATGTAGCCACCGCACTGAGTTTCTACACAACCTAAATATGTGACCAAAACTGCTGATTCCACCAGATCACAACGTGTTACTAACGCAGCAGGAAACAATTACCATGGTAACCTACTCAAAGTATCTCCATGTCCGAGGAAACCACGCAGGACTGGAAGCAATAGCAACTGAGTGCCACTGTGCAACCTCACTTAGGTTGGGCCAACAAATATTTGAAAAATAAAACCAACAGTGACAGTTAGAGTGCAATTTATCAGTGATGTTGAAGTATTTACAGATAAAGTATGCGGAAAACAGCGGCATACTTTTGCCTTACATGATGCACCATTTGTTGACAGTGGCTCAGCGTCACGCAAGCGCGTGCTTCCACAACAACCTGCTCCAAAAATTTCATCCTCCACTCCGTCTTGCTCAGAACACCAGCTGGAGCTCCTTGTAGCATTCCGCTATATCTCCTCCTCATTTCTTGTTTAACGCAGGTTTTAATGATTTTCCAAATCCCTTCAATGGGGTTCAGTTGTGGAGAATACGGTGCGAGCCGTACCAGTGTTCCCGAGGTGTAAGCTTCCTCTTGATAAATACGCTCCAGATTAGTGTGACATGGAGCGTTATCACAAACAAGAACACAGCTGTCAGACAAATGTCTACCTTCCGTATCAAGCATTTGCCGCAACCAGCGCGCACATCTTTCCTTATTGTAACTGCCCCTTAGAACGGAATACCCCAGCAATCCATCCGCGGTCATTGCGCTTAGTAGGTGCAAATTTTGTCCCCGACTGTTGGCCACCGTACACTGTGCACGGGTGCCACGTGTCCATCCACCCCTTGTGCGCGCGCAGAACAGATTGAAGTTTGTCTCATCCATCCATACTGCTTGCCGTCGTTCAGCCTCCAACCCCATCAGTGTCAGGACCGGGAGGATAAACTTAAGGTCCAACAAGGTCTAGTGGAAAAGTTTTGCTCCAATCCCAAAGTGCTATACAGACACGTAAACAATTTGCGCCGTGTTAAGCCCGGTATTCCTGCGCTGAACACAGCATGCGGGTTAGCCCAAACCGCACAAGAGGCAGCCAACGTCCTTGGACAACAATCTGGCCGTACCTTCCAAAGCGCACAATCATCATACATCATGCCTAAGCAGATAACGCCGCCATCAGGGCTTAATCACATATGGTTCACCTCCGCAGCTTTACTGAAGAGGCTGATGTCTCTGCGCAAGTTCAGCTCCCCGGGTGCGGACGACATTCGTCCGAAGGCGTTGAAAGTTTTTGCCATGAGTTTGGCAGGACCAATGGCAATTTTCTTTCAACGATGTCTGAAAGAGTTGCACGTCCCCACGATGTGGAAGCACGGAATCATCACGCCTATCTACAAAAGTGGTAGCCGTGCTGAACCAACAAATTATCGCCCGATAACACTACTTCCTGTGATCTCCAAGGTTATGGAGTCCATCGTCACTGAGGCTTTAATGGGGTACCTGGAGAACAACAAAATTCTCGTTCCGGAACAGCATGGATTTTGCAGAAATCGCTCCTGTACACCTAATCTCTTGATTGCTCGTGCAAACTGGACGGAATCTGTGGACGCTGGTGCAGAAGTCGACGCGGCCTACTTGGATTTCTCAAAGGCATTCGACCGTATAGACCATCGCATTCTCCTCCACAAACTCCAGAAATATGGAATCGGCGATCCTGTTCTGGGCTGGATAGGAGACTTTCTCGTGAAAGGTCACCTGAACATGGGGGTTAGAAGCTACCTATCAGAATCCATCGAAGTTCAGTGCGGCGTACCTCAAGGCTCGGTACTTGGAACCCGCCTGTTCCTGGTCTTCATAAATGATCTCGCGAGTGTGCTATCTTCTAACTGTTTGCTATTTGCTGATGACCTAAAGGTATGGCCACTATAGCTGCAGTGGAGGATCACACAATCTTACAGGAGGACCTGGACAAAGCGTACACATGGTCCATTGAGAACATGCTGCATTTCAAAGTCAGCAAGTGCAAAGTTTTTAGTATACGGCATAAGAGTATGCACAACTACCGCCTAGGACCACAAATTCTACAGTGGGCTTCTCACGAGTGCGATCTCGGCGTGATACTTCAAGATGACCTCGGTTGCTCGAGGCAGACTGAAAAGGCAGCTAAGAAAGCGAACCAGTACCTCGGCCTTCTTCGCATGGACTTCGGGAAGTTTGACCCTTCGATCTTTCCGAAAATGCTTAGTGCGTACGTGAGGCCGCACGCGGAATACGCTATCTAAGCGTGACAGCCCTGACTCAAGCGCCATCTCACCGCGCTCGATACTGCATAACGTAGGGCAACGCAGAGCGTCAGAGGTTTGACCAGCCTCCCCTACCCACTCAGACTGAAGACCCTCAAAATATACAGCGGATGTTATCGACGTCTAAGGGGCGAGCTCATAATAGTGTACCAGATCCTGAGAAACCCAAACCACCCATGCCATTCCCTTCCAATACTCAGTCAAAACACCTCGCTGAGAGGTCACCAGTTTAAGTTAGTCACGTAGTACAGACGCCTGGAATGTCGGCGAAACTATTTCACCCTTCGAGTGGCACAGCCTTGGAACGTCCTCCCGAAACATCTAATTAATGCACCCACCCTATCCCTTTTCAAAAAACGCATTGACGATACCCTGTCACATTTACACTACGTGCTATAGCTCATGACCACCCGATGCTGGCACTAATGCACAACAGACACTGGATAGTGCCATAACCCTACTCGAGAATGAGTCACTCCAAACGGCTTGCACGAAATTTGATAAACGCTACTACTATAGAAACTGGATTTCTGTATCCTGTCGACCCAAGATAGTTGCACACGAGTAAGCGTTGTCCTTGCTATCTTTTTCATTTTTCTCGCCTATGATGTGAACAATAATCACTCCCCTGTTGCTTTGTGTGCGTACTTTCTCGTTTCAAACTCTCTTTATACGACAATGCAATTACATCTGTAAGCGCCCGAACTGACGACTCCATTATCCCTTCGCTATCTTTTTTGTCACGCTGAACACCCTACGAGACATGTCAAGCACTTGTTCTTTTACCCGTTATAAATCATTGTTCATTGTTCCTTAGCCTCTTGTTCTCCATGGTATTCATAGATTCTGGTATTGAATGCAACCTCTTCATTGTCATGAGCCGACCGTCTAGGTAGCGAGCAATGGTGCTGACGCTTACCTACACCTCGAACTCAACCTTCAGTCTTAATGGAAGAGTTTCTAACGTCACTGTTGGCTCCGATTCAACCCATTCAACAAGGCAATCAACGTGAGTTTCTGACAGCGACCTTCGACGCGGCACGGTAGCAGTACTTTTCGGCTCATTCAGTTGCAATTTCCTAATCCAACTGCGACATATCTTCACGTTTACCTGTAACACAGATGCAACATTTTTCCCGTCGTCGCCTTCCTCATAGGTCTTCAGTATAATAGCCTTCACGTCAGCCGGATGATGGATGCGTGTTCCTCTTTGTTCCATCGCGATTAGCTTAAACCGAAGGTAACAAACAATGAAAAGCTAATAAAAGACAAACGTTGCGTCGTTAAAGGAATCTTTCGAAAACGCTCGCTGTTGCAACGTAGACCTATCTCTACGCAATGCCTGGGAAAACCAGAAGCGACAAGTTGGCTGGCCAGATGGCGAATATGCCATCATTAGTCATGTCCATGTTCACATGTCTAAGACCATCGCAATGGCACTGTGGCTGTGGGCTTCCACTTCCGTACTCGAAGTTGCTTTGTTGTCTGCTGAATCGGTGTGCTGGTCAGCACATAACGTTAGCCATGCGTACGAGAACATTTGCAACATTTGCAGGCCAGACGTGTCCGGCCCCTTTCGTAATTTGACACATGTCAAACCCCGTTAGGTAGTTCCATGCTCAGGTGCAAGGGCATATTAGGCGAGCGAGCAAGTCACCGCTGACCAGTGTGCACTTCGTCTCCGCTGCCACACCTGTTAGGGGTGGTTGTACAAGTGTGAAGCCCCATACAGCATGAGTCACCTGTTTTGGAGACACAAGTATCTGTACATCACGGCCGTCTCCAAATGACAACCTCCTCAGGCCTGACTTGACGGGCCCCTGTCCGACAGGTCCCGCGACTATTTCGTGGTTCGACGCCCGAAGGATTTTAACGTGTTGATACACGCAGCACAAACGCTTCGGAGGGTGTGAACAGTAAGGCCACCTTCGCCGTCCCATATTCAGGGACTTGTGAGGATTGAGCAAGTCCGCTATGTTGAAATGCTGCATGTACCCAAACACGACACACAGATGGGAGTTGTGAGACCGTCTAAAGTGTCCCGTATGCAAGACGTCAAAAATAATTCATGTTCCAGTGAATTACGGGGTATGCTGAGCTTCGGCAGGCCAACTATTTCTATTTCATTGTTTATAATGAAAACCAGAAATGGAATTGTGTGCGAAGAAATTTTTACTTCCATGTTGCAGAGCTGAGTGGCAGGTGTGCTGCACAAAAGTGAGCGGTCTGATCGGTTGAGCTGCACTAATAATTAGAAAAAAACGCAAGATACATCTGCAGGTAATCAGCTCACAGACAGATACACATGAAACGCTGCGTAGGGCACCTACCAAAGGCTTGAACAATAACACAGGTTAACGAAACTTTTGGAGGACTTCACAGGACGTCTAGGGAGTATACTTTTCCATTGCTGTTGAACCACATCAGTCCATCAGGTCCAAATACATTGTTTCGGAGCTACGCATTCTTCCCATAGTCTACGATTTTCTAATGCACCGTCATTAAATCGGACATACGGCCAGGAACGGCAGGCAAACTCGATCCTGCGTAGTCGCTCACCGAAGTGTTATAATTGCCGTTAATGGGGTTTAAGGCCGTCAGGAGAAAGACATTCACCGCACCGGACAGTGTATGGACCAGATCTCAAGCCACATGGAACGGACAACACAGCCGACTACAAAGGTCATGGTGTGAGTGTTTCCGACTCGAGGCGGCATGATGGATATGAACCACAGTGGACCATTGGGTGAGAGCGAAGTTCACGGTCCGGTGTGTGGGAGGACCTTGCGCTTTTAAGGCACCAAATTGTCTGTTGTAACATCTCCCTCTTTGAATAAACGTTCTCCAGACGCATATGAATGAAACGCTGGGTTCACCTGTAAAGTTGCATAGGTTTAGTAGGCCGCGTAGTTCTCCCAGTGACTCCGTCGCATGGCTCTGCGCACGTCTCTGTCGGTTCAATACGCCCCACTATTTTTGGTAGTTCCAATGTGTCCGGCAACTCGAAAGTAGAAGTGATTGCTTGTTCGATCTGTCGTTTCTGTCACTGATAAACGTGCCGTATGACAGACAACGTTCCGACAGTCACCACGTACAGCACAAAGCATATTCTTTATCGTGCCACTGCAGGTTGACAGGTTTGGTGGTTTGGCCATGCATCCAACGCGTACACCGGCTCCCCTAGTAGAAAATCTTTGTTCGCTCCTGACGCCAGTAGCCGTTGCGTAACCTTAGAGAGTACTGCATTAATTGGAGGACGTGTCTCACGCCCAAACATGGCTTCTGCTGGGTATCTGCCGCCTGGTAGATCGGGGTTTTGCTTAGGCCATGTCACTTAACAGGAACAGCTGTATGATATTCACTGCAGGTCCTTCCCCCCACAGCTTTAGAAGTAAATATTTCATGGTATCCATGAATCAATCTGCTTACCCGTTGGACTGTGGATGTTCCGGAGGCTACCGACAGTGCTTGATACAATTACACTGGCAAAAAGCACCAACATCGTCGGAGATAAATTGCGAGCCGTTATCGGAAACCGAGGTATTTGGTGAACAGAACTGTGCAAATAACTTGTAATTTTCGTACCGTGGTCGCTGTCGTAGTTGTGTTCATCAGGTACACGTCTGGCCAGTTGGTATACGCATCAATCACAATTCAAAAAATGGCCTTGAGTGGGACTAGGGAAATTAAGGTGAAT